ACATCAGCAATGTCCTTTTAATTCATCACCTTCCTGTAACATCTGTGTCATTATATAGATTTGTGTCCTGATATATCACAAAATGTGTACACACACACACACACACACGCACGCACATTATCTTTAATACAGAGTGTAATTGTGTGTTGAGTAATGTAATGCTGTTGATGTCAGGCTGCAGCCACGGACTGAAGTTCTTCTGACAGCGCTGGTTTCAGAGAAAGCAGACAACAGAACGTCTTTAGAAGCTGCGTGGAGGAAAAACGAAAAATGTAAGTTGTTATGCGCATGAAAATGATTTGGCATCATCCTTTGGAAAATTTGTGTTTTTTTTTTACTAGGATCCTTGTGTGTTTTTATTTTGCAAGATGACTGAGGGCTTTTTTGGTTGGAAATAAACCATTTCACACTGTGTAAATGCTCCAATCTACTCCAGGGTGGTGAAATAAGGGCTCAGTTTGACCTGTTTTATTCTAAAATTGACAGAAAAAACTTATTCCCAATTTGAAGTTGAAATCTCAAATAAATTCAGTAGATTTACTTAGGGTGCAGTACCAAACATGACCACCAAATGACAGGCACTGTCCACAAATCTGCAGGGTGCAAACAGGATCTATAAATCTGAAGTTTAAAAATACATCTATAAAAGTCTGACTTTAAAAAATTCAGTTGTCTCAAATTTCAGATTCAATATTTTAGTTAAGAAAATCACATTCAAAATTTTTTTTTAAATGGCATATAATGTTCAGTTTTATTAAATTACAATTGTTAATTCAAATTATTACAATACAAATTCAGATTGTTTTGGCATATTATTAGCTCCGTATTCAGCTTCAAAAATTAAGGCAGCAACTTTTTTTACAGTGCTTGTTTTACAACAACAACAAAAAAACAATAATATTTAGAACAAATTTATTTCATGATCATCAAATCAGAATATAAGAATTATTCATGACATTTATTTATGAAAAATGAAAAACTATATTGCTTTGCATCACAATCATTAATAATAAAATCTTTATCAAATCGTATTGGAAGCAGTTTACATTGTAATAACATTTCATAAATGTACTGATGATGCAGTGTTTTAAATGAAAGGGTCTTCTTGAACACCTTGATTAGTTGCATTAGCTGTGTTTGATTAGGATTGGAGCAAAACTGTGCAGAGCTGCTGCCCTCCAGGAATCCAGTGTGAGATCTGTGATTTACTAAATATATATTTATTTTTTAAAACAATAGTCACTTTTCAGATTCAAATATTTTGTTATGTTTGATTTAACTTGATGTTTTAAGTAAATTTAATGTCATGTAATTTGAAATTATTTTTGATTTGATTTAGCTAAAAAAATTCAAGCAGCAACAGCAAAAAACAAACATTAATAATCAGAACGAATATATTTAATGATCATCAAACAGAAAATAAGAATTATTTACAAAATGTATTCATGAGAAATGAAATGACTGAATTGCTTTGCATCACAATCATTAATCTTTATAAAATATAGTCAAATTGAAAGCCGTTTACATTGTAATAACATTTCACAAGTTTACTGAAGATGCAGTGTTTTAAATGCACTGAATGCAACCTTGAATTCTTTTTAAACTTTTGAAAGTTGTGTGTGAATATTGAATATTTTCCAAAAAAATATATTGGTAATAGGCATGGGACACGATAACCGTGTTCAAGGTATACCATGAATTGGAAAAGTCAAGGTTTTTTAAAAACAGTCAAAATTGTCTGCTATACTATTCCTAAGGTATGTGTAAGATTTTTTAATTAAGTTTTTTTAGGACAGCAGTATCTCCAGCAGAAAAGATCCCCAAAGATTCAGTTTAAATTGTGAAGAAATCTGTGTTTTTGGAACAAAGTCCATAATTAATTTGAATTATTTCGCCTGACATGTTTACCCCTCCAAAATATTATACATTTTTCCCAAATTAAAATATATTGTGGACAAAGAGGAAAAAGGTTTTTACCCAGAAAAAAAAAATATAAAAAAAAAAAAATATATATATATATATATAATTTATATATAAAATATAAAGTATATAAAAAAATATATATATTTTAGAGCAGTAATCCCAATATCATGATACCGAGATACCATGATATTTAAATCCAAGGTTATCATACCGTCAGAATCTTATACTAGCCCATGCCTAATTGGTAATAAATATTTTAAAAAATTCAGCCACATCAAAGTTCAAATCAAAGTGTGTAACGAAATAAATAGAGCTTTATTTCTTCTCCTAGATCTGCTGTCAGCGTATTGTCAGTGGATCCCAGAGTCTCTTCATGAAGAAGTCAGTAAAATCTGGCCGCCGATCGGACAAGCAGACCCTCGGTGACCTCTGACCTTCTAAACCTAGACTTTTAATCCTGAATCCGAGCAGTAAGACTTACAGCTCAAGAACAGAATCATTCTCTGGCCAACTTCCAGCATAAAACCATGTTGCCTGAAAACCTTGACTTTTGTAAACACGTCTCCACACACCCTGACACCAAAACAAATAAATTCATCGTCTTTTTTTAACGACCTGCTGTCTCCATGCTGTCTGTTCTGGCCTTTATCGCACTGCAGAGTGTTTGCTGACAGCATTGAGCATCGCTAGTGTTTTTGCTCATGTCATCATATCTTTAACAGTGTGTGTGTCTGCATCAGATATCATCAGGCATGTGCAAAGGTAGGGCTCAACCTGTGCAGAACAGGGTTATTTTAGTAACCAACAGCTAGTGCTGCATCCCAATTCCATTACCTGTAACGTAGACTAACATTACACAGCGATGTTCCGTACAGATTACCTTTTAACACTAATCTCTGAATAAATACTTATGGGTCGTAGGCAAGCTATATATCCGTGTAATCTTTATTTCTCACTCTTTCAGCCCCAAGCCCAACAGAGACCTTCCTTCTATATGTTTCCGAGTAAATTCTGTAAGTTTGCTACATACAACTAATGCGCTTGAAATTAGACATTGGGCAAGCTTAAAGTGCGAGTGTCGCCTGGGAGGGGAGACATTTAAAGCCAAGACAATATGCTTTTGCATTTAATTTATGCATCACACGGTATTACAGTCTTTATGAAGTGAATATTATGTTATCACAAATTGTTAAAAAAAATTGTCCTTTGTTGAATAAAAAAAGGGGAAAGTCTATGCCAGGGTACTGGAGAGGAGGATCCAGCCTATGGTTGAACCTAGGATCCAGGAGGAACAATGTGGTTTTCGTCCGGGCTTTGGTACACTGGACCAGCTCTATACCCTCACCTGGGTGCTCGAGGGTTCATGGGAGTATGCCCAACCAGTCCACATGTGTTTTGTGGACTTGGAGAAGACATTCGATCGTGTCCCTCGTGGCATTCTGTGGAGGGTGCTCGGGGAGTATGGGGTCAGAGGCAATCTGTTGAGGGCCGTCTCGTCCCTGTATGAACAGAGTAGGAGTCTGGTTCGCATTGCCGGCAATAAGTCAGATTTGTTTCCATTGCATGTTGGACTCCGGCAGGGCTGCCCTTTGTCACCAATTCTATTCATAATTTTTATGGACAGAATTTCAAGGTGCGGCCTTGGGCTGGAGGGGGTCTGGTTTGGGGAACACAGGATTTCATCGCTGTTATTCGTAGACGATGTTGTTCTGTTGGCTTCATCGAACATGGACCTTCAGCATGCACTGGGGCGGTTTGCTGCCGAGTGTGACGCGGCTGGGATGAAAAACAGCACCTCCAAGTCCGAGGTCATGGTGCATCACCGGAAAAAGGTGGTTTGCCATCTCCAGGTTGGAGGAAAGTCCTTACCCCAGGTGGAGAAGTTTAAGTATCTCGGGGTTTTGATCACGAGTGAGGGAAAGATGGAACGTGAGATTGACAGGCGGATTGGTGCAGCGGCAGCAGTAATGTGGTCGATGTACCGGTCTGTTGTGGTGAAGAAGGAGCTGAGCGGAAAGGCAAAGCTCTCGATTTACTGGTCAATCTACGTTCCTACTCTCATCTATGGTCATGAGCTTTGGATCATGACTGAAAGGACAAGATCTCGGATACAAGCGGCTGAAATGAGTTTACTTCGAAGGGTGGCAGGGCGCACTCTTATGGATGGGGTGAGGAGCTCTGACACCCGGGAGGAGCTCGGAGTAGAGCCGCTGCTCCTCCACATCGAGAGAAGTCAGCTGAGGTGGCTCTGGCATCTGTTTCGGATGCCTCCTGAACGCCTACCTAGGGAGGTGTTCCAGGCATGTCCCACCGGGAGGCGGCCTCGAGGAAGACCCAGGACACGCTGGAGGGACTATGTCTCTCAGCTGGCCTGGGAACGCCTCGGGATCACCCCGTAGGAGCTGGAGGAAGTGTCTGGGGATAGGGAAGTCTGGGGTTCTCTCCTAAGACTGCTGCCCCCGCGACCCAGCCCCGGAAAAGCGGCAGAAGATGAATGAATGAATAAATGAATGAATGAATAAATGCTTTTTCAGTTGTGGGTGATGACGGCATGGCACAACTCTCCTCCAGACAGTTGCGCCATGTCATGCTTTAATAAAATAAACATGATATAAAAATTCAATTATTGTAAAGCTATTTCATTTCAAACTTTCTTAAAATAGTTATTAAATATATCATTAACCTCAAGTTAAACACAATAATGTTATATTCTGACATAAGATTTTAATAAGACTTCAAACAATGCCCATTTTTGCTAGTAAATTAAAGTTATGCGCCCTGTACGGAACACTATTTTAGTTGCGTACGGAACCCTGTTAATACCTATCATCTACTGTTCACATGCGAAGGCGGTACTTTTCCCATCTTTTCTCAAAAAGTACTGGTCCAAAAGACATCAATCAAGATTTGGATTGTGCAATAGCTATTCCCCCAGAGAATGAACACACAAGCAAGCTTATCTGGCGTTCAATGACTAAGGATTGTTTTTTTGAGTGCGCTGAATAGCGAAAAGTGTACGGAACATGGTTACGTTCTACATCCTAAAAGTATGTACTTTATTATTATTAAAAGGCACAATGAGAAAAGCAGTCCAGAGGCCAAAAGCAACAAGGTTAGTAAGCAGCATCACAACAAGTTTGAATTCATTTTAAGTGTTTAACTTAATATCAGAACATCATGAAAAGAATTAACTTATGAATGATTTATTTGTTTATAATTTTTGACCAATAGGTGGCAGAATTACAAATGTGATGTGTTGTGGTCTGTGTCAGGTGACAATGAAGAACTTAATGTTTGTTGTCAATGGCTGTCTCTCAACACCAAGTACGCAAAGTTCAGACTTGCGGCCTTGTTCAGACTTATAAGAATGAACTCCAGAGGACGCGAGGACACAAGTCAGGAACTTCTTTAAATGGAACGGCAGTGTACTTTATAACGTCACTTACCTCACTATTGATTCATCGGTTTCACTGGAGATTAAAAATAAAATGATTTAATTATATAAAGCACAGTCTTATAATTAATATAATACTCATAAATCAATATTTTTGATTTAAGAAAGTGTAAACATAAATCACTATAAATGTGAAGTGAAATGGGTTATTATATACAGACTCGTGTCTTTTATTATCAGATTTAACAAACTACAATGAACATTATACAAGTATAAAGTACAAGATGTAAACAATTCAATAAAGATAACGATAAGCAATTTAGTAAACAAAGTCAAACCTCGTACAACACTGTAACGTAATAACAGACAATTATAAAAGGTAACAAAATAACACACCTGAGAACAAATAATAGATTTTATAGACCAAACATTGTCCGTTAGCTATGCACAAGATGTATTAAATATAATGTTTTAACTACAGTGGACAGATGCAATCCAGCGGTACATCTGCGATGGACTGGCTGATGTAAAGCTGCTCTCGAGGGGGGAGGTGATGATTTGCTCCCGCTGACAGGCTGGGGGTCAGAGTCTGCATAAGCTGAGGCACATCGCCAAAGACGCTCTATCTTTATAAATAAACTGCTGATTTGAGTTTTAAATGACTACATTCTCGCCTGAAAAACTCTTGAAGTTTAATTTGTAACGCAACAGAGGAGTATTTTTTAAACAGTGCAGGTTTTCTCATCTGCCATTAGCTTTCACTTGTTACGCTGCAATGCATTCTGGGATACCTGTGCTTTGTAAGTTCGCACAAGTCCCCTCTTGAATCATCTTTGGCTCAAGGGGCGGAGCAAGTACACATCCGGGAATTGTATCTGTACTGGACTCTGTATGGCTGGGTGGTTTGTAGTTTTGTTCTCCCCCACAAGTTAGCGGGAATGGGCGCAGTGGGTAGAAAACAGGGCGGGGAACAGGCAGCTAAATAAAACAGGCAGCGGGACAACAAATGCTGAATATAAGCGGGAGCGGTCGGGTTCGTACTAAAACCTGGCAGGAGTGGGATTCAAAATTTAGTCACACGCAGATCTCTATTGCCAATGACACACCTAAAGTTCAGTGTCATCATGTTAAAGCACTGCAAAGTTGCAGCCTCAGATACGCTTTGACATCGTGCTATCAAATTTGTCGATGCCTTAAACAACAACAGTTTTGCTGATCGATATACTTTCCATAACTTTTGGTCAGCATTAGCTGAAGATGATCAGTCAAATTTGGTGACAATTTAATTCACATTCGAGGAAGAGTTCGCTAAAGAAGCTTTTTGAACAAAATCAAAATGGCAGACAGGAAGTTTGCCCAAATTCTTAAGAAATATGTACATATGTTTTTTTCCAATTCCATTGGTCCAACCGGGGCATTGTTTAGCCCGTATAAAAAAAATAAAATAAATCGTCTAAAATCTCATTCGTAATGGTCTTAAAGAGAAAACTGAAGTCATTGCGTTTGGGAACAGAGGTGCGGTTCTCAAGGTGAATGCGTACCTTGGCACTAAGAGTCAAACAACAAAAAATAAGATCAAGAATCTTGGTGTGACTCTGGAGTCAGATCTGAGTTTCAGTAGTCATGTAAAAGCACTCAGTAAATCAGCATACTATCATCTCAAAAACATCGCAAGAATCAGATGCTTTGTTTCCAGTGAAGACTTAGAGAAACTTGTTCATGCTTTCATCAGCAGCAGGGTGGATTACTGTAACGGCCTCCTCACAGGCCTTTCCAAAAAACAGTTGCAGCTCATTCAGAACGCTGCAGCCAGGATTCTGACCAGGACCAGAAAATCAGTCCTGTCCTCAGGTCTCTACACTGGCTCCCAGTCACATTCAGAATAGATTATAAAGTATTATTACTGGTCTGTAAATCACTAATTGGCCTTGGACCTCAATACATTACAGATATGCTGACTGAATACAAACCCAACAGATCACTCAGATCTTCAGGATCACAAAAACTAGAAATTCCAAGAGTTCAGTCAAAGCAGGGTGAATCGGCTTTCAGCTACTAACAGCGCCCCCCACTGCTGGAATCAGCAGTCAGAAATGATCAGATGTGCTCCAACATTAGGCACATTCAAATCAAGACTGAAAGCACATCTGTTTAGCTGTGCCTTTACAGAATGAGCACTGTGCTACGTCCGACAGATCGCACTATTATGTTTTTCTCTTTTTTTTTTTTTTGTAAAGCCCTTTGAATTGCCAGTGTATATGAAATGTGCTTTATAAATAAACTTGCCTTGCCTTAAAGTGTTAAATTTGACTTGATGAAACCTGCAGAAACCCTGAATATAAGTAATTATTATCAACTTCCGGACACAGATGTACGCCTTCTAGACTTCACCTCATCAACATACTGAAATAAACCTCAGCAACTTTCAGTTCACGCAGACTTTAATGTCAATAAACAATGTATTTTGGTAATCTAGTTGAGTATGAGTAGACTGTCTGCTTAATATCTGTTGATACTGCTCCTTCAACAGACATTTAACTGACTATAAGAAACGTTGCAAGTACATGTCAACTTACACTAACCCTAACCGCAACCTAATAGTCTACTTATAATCTAATGAGAATTCGTTAACATGTAGATGCAAAATAACTTAAATTCAACAAACAGACCATCACAATAAAGTGCGACCAACAACTTTATTATTCTAGATTTATTTAGTGTATATATATATTTAAAATCCAGCTTTTATTTGAGGTATTTGTCTGCAAACATTTTCACACCATTTCCCCTGAGGAAACACTGTTTGCCTGCGTGCGGTTTAAACGTCACTCTATGTTGCTTAAGCTATAAGAGTTCATTTAGGGAGTAAGACAAGATCTCTCGAATATTTCTCAACCCGTCGAGTGAGTTTCTAACATCTGCCCCTCCCGATGATGATAATAACAATAATGATAATGTGCAGTTACCACACAGAAAACCAATCTCTGAGATTCTCTCTGCTTTCAGGAGCTTTGTTTTGTTTTCACTGAAACTCTCCATCCAGTTTCTCTTCTCTGATTTTATTTTTTTACTTTCAGGCAAAATGTGAAGCAGCTGTGGGGATCTTGCATAACAGAGGTGTGTGTGCATGGCCTGAGGTTTACAGCAAACCTGATTCTGATTTCTGACACATTTCAGCTCAGAAATGTCAGGCATGGAGAGTTACTGCAGGAGTTGTTCAATACAAAGAGGCTTTGAAATCAAGGGAAAAAAGCTTGCTGAGTTGCGTAGGTGTGTGAGGGATTGTATAATGCGCTACATCAATTACTCCCACACACACTCAAGTGCACACACTTCACCTTAAGTAGTTAATTACGCAGCTCTTTTGACTTTACCTGGAAGGTTTGAGTCATGCATGAGAATCTAAGAATATTGTGCAGCGCATACAAATAAATCAGAGCAATTCATTTTTATTACATTATTTTATTTATGAATGTCATGATAAATTATAAAAAAGGCTAAAAACAATTATATGTTGAAAAAATATAGATAGAATCAACTTAGCCCCCCCTTTTGATTTTTTTTTTATTTTCCAAATGATGTTTAACAGAGCAAGAAAATGAAGAACTTTCCTACACTTTACATGGAAGAACTGAAATTTATTTTGATAATGGGGAACAGTTCTGAATTTCTGTGACCCACAATGCAAACATGTAACGAGACAAAATAATAATTAAGGCTATGATATTGGCATCCACTCACCCTTTTTTTTTCTCTTTTCAATTTATATATTTTACCCAAAACTGAACATCGTATACAATGATTTTTTTTTTTTTGGGATGTAAATTACCCACAACTAAACATCGTATACAATGATTTTTTTTGGGGGGGATGTAAATTACCCACAACTAAACATCGTATACAATGATTTTTTTTTTTTTAAATGAAGGTTATTTTTAGGACCAGTGAGTTTAAAAAGCTGTATTTTCATAACTAAAGTTTACAAAGGTTATAATTATGTTTAAGTGTGTATTTTCCAAATATTATACTTTCTGGATTAATTTTTAAAAGTTGTTATATAATTTTTTTCAAATTTTGAAATTGTCTTTTTTTTACTTTTGTATTAGTTTTTACTTCTTTGAGGTTCTGGTTTAGTTTTTATTTGTAGCTAAAAATTTGGATATTCAGGCAGTCGAGTGATTGTCAAAAACTGGAAAATTTCCAGTAGACCTCTGATCTTGGAGTGAATATCAGAGTTAGGACGAGTTGCAGCTTTTGAAGAACTTTCCTACACTTTACATGGAAGAACTGAAATTTATTTTGATAATGGGGAACAGTTCTGAATTTCTGTGACCCACAATGCAAACATGTAACGAGACAAAATAATAATTAAGGCTATGATAGGCTAGGGGGGATGATATTGGCATCCCCCCACCCTTTTTTTTCTCTTCTCAATTTATATGACATTATTATTATTTTTTTTTTTGCATTGTTTTGCTTTTCTGTTAATGCTTTGTATTTGGTATTCATCTGCATTATTTGCAAATAACTAAAACTTAAAAAATGTATAAAATTTAAATATACAAAATATTTAAATATGTAATTAGGTCTGGCGATAATTTTTGCTAATAAATATTAGTTGAAGTCAGAATTATTAGCCCCCCCTTCGAATGTTTCTTTTTTTAAATTTTTTTTTATTTAGATATTTCTCAAATGATGTTTAACAGAGCAAGGAAATTTTCACAGTATTTGTGATAACATTTTTTCTTCTGGAGAAAGTCTTATTTCGGCTAAAATTAAGCTGAAATAAACCAACCAATTAATTCAATTAATTTTGATTGCATAAGACAGTAATTAGTAGCATAATTAAGTAATTCTTAAACTAATGAATTATTCATTCATTTTCTTTTCAGCTTAGTCCCTTTATTAATCAGGGGTCGCTACAGCGGAATAAACCGCCAACTTATCCAGCACATGTTTACCTCAGCGGATGCCCTTCCAGCTGCAACCCATCACTGGGAAACACCCATACATTCAAATACATGCATACATTCACATACGTACAATATGGCCAATTTAGCTTATTTAATTCACCTGTACCGCATGTGTTTTGACTGGGGGAAACCGGAGCATCCGGAGGAAACCAACGTAAACACGGGGAGAACATGCAAACTCGCACAGAAATGCCAACTGACCCAGCCAGTGCTCGAACCAGCGACCTTCTTGCTGTGAGGCAATTGTGCTACCCACTGCGCTCACCGTGCTGCCCTTTTGAAGTAATGCTTTTCCTTTTTATTAAATTACCAAAAGCTGATTATTATACTTTAATATAGTTCAAAACACTATTTACTGTACATTTACCATAGTATTTGTTCATGTAAGGTGTTTGGTAAGAGTTTTTAAGAGTGTGTCCCAACACAAGTTGTTCCAATACAAACCAATGACGCTAACTTAATTTTTTTATTCAAGTAAATTTTACATAAAACAAATGTTTTCCCTCAAAAATCTCAAGAATTGTGTTCATTTGTCGACCTTTGAACAAGCAGCAAAAACATATATTTTTAAGTATATACTGTAATGATGTAATTTAGTAGTTTTTGGTGTAAATTACCCAAAACTGAACATCGTATACAATAATATATTTAAAAACACTATTATTTTCTATAAATTACCATAGTATTTTTCTATGTGAGGTGTGTGTGTTTGTACCAGGATCCTCCCTGTCCTGAGGGCAGTCAGAGGGGGAGGGGAGCGACACTTTCTTCCCTCCCTCAACATGGAGCTCCGTGTTCCGCCCTGCGCCGAGTCTGACTGGGGAGGAGCCGGAGGAGGGAGCGGTCCCACCGGGGAATGACAAACTAAAAAGACGTGTTGGGTCAGTCACACCTGACAGCACTCCGAGCACACGACACAAAACACAAGACCGACAGAAAGCAGCAGCGGACACCATGAGGGACACGGCCAAGAAGAACGGAGACCGGAGAAATAATAACACGGGTAAAAAGTCGCTTTTCTGATTCATTTCAGTCTCCTCCCTCTTTAAACTCCTTCCTGATGTTTTCCCTCAGAGTTTTAGGACGAAAACTTTGTGAAAACTGAAGTAATGCATGCATAAAGTGAAGGTAAACACGCTGAAATTGTTCGCAGCTGCTAAATAAACATGAAATTGTGTGTTTACATAATGTTAACGTACTTTAAAAGTTTACTTTCACCTTTAAGCCCCTGCTGTGATCCTGATTTTATAATTATATTACACTACAGTGGTTAAAGCTAAAGTATACCACAGTAATTATTACATTTATCAAATCACAAATACAATATGCTGTAGCACAATATTAGCTATACACTTATGGTTCAAAAACACTACTATAAATTACCATAGTATTTCTTCATGTGGGGTTCTACAACTTTAATTTAGGCTATATTGTAGTAAAAATTAAAGTATACTACAGTAATTATTACATTTTATTAGTTTACAGTATTAATAATATGGAATCCTATAGCACTCATTAGCAAAGGTGTTGTAAATATAAGCAATACAATTTGCTAGTGTGTGGTTCAAAACGCTGCTTAAGTACATTACCATAGTATTTCTCCATGTGTGAATGTTTGGTGTGTGTATGTGAAAGCAAAGTTTTCTACAACTTTAACTTAGTCTTAATTGTAGTAAAAATTCAAGTATTACAATTTATTAGTTAATAGTAAGGTATCTTTTTGCACTCATTAGCAAAGTGCTGAAAATACTATTGTAGCTATACACTTTGCTAGTGCCTGGTTCAAAAACGCTGCTTAATATAAATTACCGTAGTATTTCTCCATGTGTGAATGTTTGGTGTGTGTGTGTATTTGAAAGCAAAGTTTTAATTTAGGCTATATTATAGTAAAATTCAAGCACTATAGTAAATATTACATTTTATTGGTTCTTGTTAGTTAATGGTATCCTATAGCACTTATTAGAAATACTACTATTAGCTCTACACTTTGCTAGTGTATGGTTCAAAAACACTGATTAATATTAAGGTAATATTTCTGCATGTGGGGGCTGTGTATGCAGGTTGTGTTTATTTTTGTTGTGTGTATGTTAAAGCCAAGGTTACTAAAACTTTAATCAAGGCTATTTTGTAGTAAATATTCAAGTATACTTCAGTAATTATTACATTTTATCAGTTCACAGTATTAATAAGGTGTCTTGTAGCACTCATTAGTAAAGTGCTGAAAAATACTATTATAAGCTACACACTTTGCTAGTGTATGGTTCAAAAACGCTGCTTAATATAAATTACCGTAGTATTTCTCCATGTGTGGATGTTTGGTGTGTGTGTGTGTGTAAAAGTTTTCTACAACTTTAATTTAGACTATATTGTAGTAAAAACTCAAGTATACCACAGTATTTATTGCATTCGATCAGTTTACGATAGTTAATAATATGGTATCTTGTAGCACTCATTAGCACTACTACTATTAAGTTCATCATTGTTAATAATATGGTATACTGTAACACTCATTAGGAAAGTGGGGGTTGTGTGTGTGTTTGGTGTCTGTTTGAAAGCGAAATTTTCTTCAACTCTAAGATACTATATTATAGTAAAAACTAAAGTATACTATAGTATTTGTTTAATTTGATCAGTTAATAATACAGTATCCTGTAGCACTCATTAGCAAAGTGCTGTAAATACTATTGTTAGCTCTACACTTTGCTAGAGCATGCTTCAAAAACACCTGCTTAATATAAATTACCATAGTATTACTGGGTTGTGTGTATGTGTGGGTCGTGTGTATGTTTAGTGTGCGTATGTGAAGTTGTTTTCTACAACTTTAAGGTAGGCTATTAGTAAAAATCAATACTACTATAAACGTTATAGTTTATTATGTCATGATAGTTAATACTACAGTATGCTGTAGCACTTATTAGCAAAGTGTTGTAAATTCTACAAAATATACACTGTTATACACTTTAATATAGTAGTATAGCCTTGTAGTATTTAGCATAGTCTACATGTGGGGTGTCTGTATGTTTGTGTTTGGCTATTTGATGCGTGTGATGTATTATACTACAGTAGTAAAAACTAAAGTATATTTGTTACATTTGATCACTTCACATTAGTTAGCATGCTATAGTAGGCATGGGCTGGTATAAGATTCTATCGTTATGATAACCCTGCATAAAAATATCACAGTTTCACAGTGTTTTGCTCACTGCTCTAAAATATATATATTTTAAATGTCTGGGTAAAAAAACAAAAACTTTTTTTCCCCTTTGAAAACAATATATATATATTTATTGAAAGATTAATAATATTTTAGAGCCGTAAACATGCCAGGCTGAATAATTCAAAGGAATCATTTACTTCTGCTGTCTTCATTTGTTTCAAAAACACAGATTTCTTTACTATTTAAAATGGCATCTTTACATATCTTTTCTGCTGGAGATACTGTTGTCCTAAAAACAAACAAAAAATGAAAATAAAAAATCTTAAACGTACTGTACCTTAGGATTGGTATTATAGAACATTTTGGCCGTTTTTTTAAAACCATGACTTTTCCAAATCGCGCTATACCTTGAAAATGGTTATCGTCCCATGCCTGTGCTGTAGCACTCATTGGCGAAGTGTTGTAAAGACTATTATACAGTATATAGAGTATTACACATTTTACAATAGGGCTCCATGATATTGGAAATATCTAACATTGCATCTACAATTATTTTTGTTATTCTCTTATATATATATATATATATATATATATATATATATATATATATATATATATATTAGGGCTGCTCGATTATGGGAAAAATCATAATCACGATTATTTTGGTCATAATTGTAATCACGATTATTCAAAACGATTATCAGTTGAAGTCAAAATTATTCATCCTCCTGTGAATTTATTTTTATAAATAAATATTTCCCAAAGGATGTTTAACAGAGGTTTTTTTTTTTTTTTTTTTTACAGTATTTCCTATAATATTTTTTCTTCTGGAGAAAGGCTTATTTGTTTTATTTCAGCTAGAATAAAAGCTAGAATAAAAAGATAAAAGAAATCAGTTATTAGAAATAAGTTATTAAATCTGTTATGTTTAAACTGTGCTTTAAGCATCTTCACTGTATTTTTGATTTTATTATTGATTAATGATAAAAACAGTCGGCAGCAGCAGGAATACAGCACGCTGTCACTTTAAGAATAGGGCGGCTCTGAGTCTGATATGGTTTCTCTTTCTCATGTCTTTTGATTCTCAACTTGTTAGTTTATTACACAAATGAGGGTTAATATGAATAATCACTAAACATCGCGCTCTGACACAAGTGTGCATGTATTTGACCATTAAAGCGCTCACATTAAGATCGCGTTAGATGTGTGTGTGCTCTGCTATCCGAGGCTAAGCGCGGGGCGCGCGCAAACACACACACACTACCTGTCCGAGGCTGTTTTGCGCTTTTAAAAATATGAATGATGCGCATCCCGTGCTGCAAAAGTTACATTACAGCACATGCTTTTAGTCACTTTCACGTGGAACTGAGCTTTGCAGAGGCAAAGAGTTTTCCCACGTGTACAACTGGAAAGGGGGCGGGACGTGATTGAATAATCGTTTATCTCGATTAATGGTTTTTCATAATCGTTAAAAGCCAAAATCGAAATCGGATTTTCGATTAATTGCACAGCCCTAATATATATATATATATATATATATATATATATATATATATATATATATATATATATATCAATCAAAGAAGAAGTGAATGACTTTTTTTTGTCAGTTGTTGGCATGAGACATTTGCACAGTATTTAAAATGTTACAGTGCGTATACTGTCATTAATGCTCAAACATTAGTAAGTTGGTCACAACTTTCTTGTAAAGAATTTGACAATAATATTATTATATTTTATTAAATTATATGCTCCATGAGGCACCATGGTCAAGCAAAATAAAAACACAACACAGCCACCGTACTTTTACTATTATTACTTTAGTAGTATTGTGAAGTATTAAATGGATCATATTGCATTATGTGAGGTATTATAATTAATGAACGCCTCATAAATCAAATCACTTTTATTGTCACATCATCAGCAGCACGTGTGCTATTATGAGTGAAAAGCTTAGGTGCTGGCTCCAGACAGTGCAAAATACAGACAGTGGAAATACAACGACAGTGCAAATACAGACAGTGCAAAATATTAAAGTATTATAAATTGACAGCCGTACAATGAACAGGTGTCCACATAGTTGTAGGCAGTATTGTTTCAAGTATGGATTAGTTAAAGTGCAGTGCATGCTACATATTGATGGTGTGCAGTGCGGGTATGGAAGAGTCTGTGTGGGGTGTGTTAAGTGTTCATCAGCCTGATAGTCTGAGGGAAGAAGCTTTCCTTCAGCCGGCTGGTGCATGATCGGATGCTGCGGAACAGTCTGCCGGAGTGTAGCAGAGAGAAAAGTCTATGGCTTGGGTGGCTGGAGTCACTGATAATTCTCTTATTATCTCTTAATTTTATTTATATATATATATATATATATATATATATATATATATATATATATATATATATATACATACATACATACATACATACATACATACATACATACATACATACATACATACATACATACATACATACATACATACATATATATATATATATATATATATATATATATATATATACATACATATATATATACATACACACACATATATATATATATATATATATATATATATATATATATATATGAGCGATATAAATACAATATCACAAAATGACTTAAACATCTCTATTTGGAAAGAATTAATTTAAGTATCTTCATAAAATCTAATAAACAGTCCATTAATATAATAACGTAAAACAAGATTAATACAATAATGAAAAAGATAAATTGAAATAAACAATGCTTTATTATTTTTTGAGTCAAACAATATTCAGGTACTGTAATCAAATAATAAAAATTTAAATAATTCAATTAAATAAATCGTTTTTAAAATCTTCATGCA